ATACAAGAAACGTTAGCTGGGCATGGTGGCACGAGCCTGTAATCCCAGCTACTCAGGAGGCTGAGGCGGGAGAATTGCCTGAACCCAGAAGGCGGCGGTTGTGGTGAGCTGAGATCGCGCCATTGCACTCCAGCCTGGGTAACAAGAGCGAAACTCTGTCCCAAAAAAAAAAAAAAGTTATTTAAAATACAGCCTGAGACATATGGTGCTAAGGAACAGAGTCCCATCTCCCACAAACTTAATGCCTAAGAACAATCAAGCTGTTTTAGTAACTGAGATTTTTGGTGTCTAAATAACTCACCAAACAGTCACGCTGCAGGGTCTTACATAGGGCATTGTACATGTCAGCATCCAAAAAAAGACCATCAGGGATGTCTTGTAAGAAGTCTAGGTCTTTAAATGTGGGAAGAGGCTTCTCTCGCTCTTTCTGGGAAGCCCGCCGTTTGTAGGTTGAGCCTTTGAGGTCATATTTGATATGCATTTTGACTGATCTTGGTAAAAGATTATTCATCACCACAATCCGAATGTTCTTGCCACCTGCCTGCACACAGTACAGTCCATAGAATTTAGGCAGCAAAGTCCGAGGGTTCTGGTTGAGGTTCTGAGAACACAAAAGTAAACAGAGGTAGGAGAACAACTTAGCTGATTTTCAGTGAAACTCAAGGGCAAAAATTACACCCATCCTCCCCTTATCTCCTATAAGAGATTCAGACACAATCTGTCTGCCTGTAGTACATCATGTTTGCTTAAAATTTCCCTATGTGTCTATTTCAGCCAGGCACGGTGGCTCACGCCTGTAATCTCAGCACTTTGGGAGGCTGAGGTGGGCAGATCACAAGGTCAGGAGTTTGAGACCAGCCTGGCCAATATGGTGAAACCCCGTCTCTACTAAAAAAATACAAAAATTTGCTGGGGTGTGCACCTGTAGTCCCAACTACTCAAGAGACTGAGGCAGAAGAATCACTTGAACCCAGGAGGCAGAGGCTGCAGTGAGCCGAAATCAAACCACTGCACTCACTCTGGGCAACAGAGTGACACTCTGTCTACAAAAATAAATAAATAAATAATTTTCCTATATATCTATTTCAATGATGAGTTCACCATCAAGCTGTGCCACAGACTCTCCAATACAGAAATCAGTACAGGGTATCTGTACCAATGTAAGATGGATATATTCCTTTGGAGAAGTTTAAGAGAAGACTACACCCTCTGCCCTGGGTATAGTATATTCTTGGAGGTATTAAGGAAGGTAATGAGAGTTACCTAACTTCTCCAGAACCTCCAATAGCAGTCAGTCAGAGTAAGGCTGCAGAGAGTATTATCAAGGGAAGTAACCTACCTCATTCACCAAACTAGAAGCTGAACTGGGAACAGAAGACGAAAACAGCTAGGTGCAGTGGCTCATGCCTGTAATCCGAGCACTTTGGGAGGCCAAACAGGAGGATCCAAACGGGAGGATCACCTGAGCTCAGGAATTCAAGACCAGCATTGGCAACATAGCAAGACCTTATCTCCACCAAAAATTTATAAAAATTAGGTAGGCGCAGTGGCTCACGCCTGTAATCCCAGCACTGAGGAAGGCAGATCACAAAGTCAGGAGTTTGAGACCAGCCTGATCAACATGGTGAAACCCCGTATCTACTAAAAAACAAAAAATTAGCCAGGCATGGTAGTGTGCACCTGTAATCCCAGCTACTCAGGAGGCTGAGACAGGAGAACTGCTTAAACCTGGGAGGCAGAGGCTGCAGTGAGCCAAGATTGCCAAGACTACGCCACTGCACTCCAGCCTGGGTAACAGAGCCAGATTCCATCTAAAAAAAAAATAATAATAATGAACAAAAATCAATAAATAAAAATTAGCCAGGCGTGGTGGGGTGTGCCTTCAGTCCCAACTATGCAGGAGGCTGGGGTGAAAGGATCACTTGAACCTGGGAGATCAACGATACTTAGAACAAACAAAACCTCTTTTACCATAGAGAAGCAAAAGACATGGGGTGAAAAGCACAAAACTGAACTACAGTCTTAAGACAGAGGTGCTGACACTGTTTTACCCTGCTGAAGACAGCCTCCCCAGCCTTGTCCAGAAGCAGGCAGCACAGGTGGAGAGTGCTTCTCTCTCCCTTACCATGTAGTATCCTGGAAGCAGCTTCTGCAGAAACTCCGCCTCTTTATGTTGAACTGTCTTAATAATGAATTCATCATCGCTGGACACATAGAACAGGGAACCACTAGCTCCAGAGCTACAGAGTTCAATCAGCGGCTCACTACAGAGGGAGTACTGGGGCAAAGAGAGAAGAGCATAAGAGACTGTGACGCATTAGAGCCTTGCCCAACACAAAAATCAACTACAGATGCAATTCTTTCCTAAATAAAAACCAGAGCGAGACTATGGAGAAAAGGGGCCTTCCCTTGCAAATATCCCTCTGATACTGGAGTCACAGGGTCCTGATATCCAGAAGCTTACCAGGTAATCATCAGGTCGGATACCAAATAGCTCCCGAAAGTAGCGGAAGGCAACAGGTGCATAGGTCTTGAAACGAAAGTCATTGTAGTGATGAGCAGGGGTCAGGTTGCTTCCTTCACTGTGGGGTTAAACAGAAATAGCAATAATTTGTCAGTACCTATCATCCAGAGAATCTACCTTGCGAAGACACTCAGAGTCACCTAATGGTAGGGGGAGTGGAGGAATACATTTCTCCCAAGAGACGCAGAGCACTCAGATGAGCTACTTAGTGAGAGAACGGCACAGGATAGACAGCAAGACATAAAAAAGAATCACAGCAGAGTATAATCCCACCTAGAATCCCAGCACTTTGGGAGGCCAAGGAGGGAGGATCATGAGGTCAAGAGATCGAGACCATCCTGACCAACAAGGTGAAACCCCGTCTCTACTAAAATTAAATAAATAAATAAATAAATTAGCTGGGCATGGTGGTGTGCCCTTGTAGTCCTAGCTACTCAGGAGGCTGAGGCGGAAGAATTATTTGAACTGGGAAGCAGAGGTTGCAGTGAGCTGAGATTGCACCACTACACCACTCCTGCCTGGTATCAGAGAGACTCCGTCTCAATTAAAAAAAAAAAAAAGAAGGAATCACTCTGCCTGCTATCCAATGCATTAGGTGTTTTTTTTTGTTTTTTATGGGTCTCTCCATAGGCCAGAGGCTCATGGAAGCATCTAGAAGATAGCATCTACTCTCCAAACTAAGAACTGGACACTTGCTCATGCATGGCTACGAAAAAAAAAAAAAAAAAAAAGAATTGGAAGCACGCCTAAATTGTCAGACCTGAACCCCTAAAACTGCCATGGGGCTGATTTGAAAAGGCCACATTTCCAGGACACGCTTTTGAACATTAAACTCTGTACCTGGGGAAGAAGATACTCTCCACCACGTAGAAATCTTGCATGAGGACATCTCGCTCCGGTTTAGTACTCAGGCTCCCCACAGTGTGAGTAATGCCTAACTGGATGGCACCTTTCAAGGCTGATGAGGTTGTCTAAGAAACAAAGAGAAATGAGAAGAAAACTTCTAGTATAAGTAGGACCACAGCAATAAAATTCAGAAGGGAGAAGCTAGAAGGAGAAACACTTTAAAACAAATGGCCGGCCGAGCACGGTGGCTCACTCCTGTAATCTCAGCACTTTGGGAGGCCAAGGCAGGCGGATCACAAGTTCAGGAGTTCAAGACTAGCCTGGCCAATATGGTGAAACCCTGTCTCTACTAAAAATATAAAAATTAGCCTGGCATGTTGGTGGGCACCTGTAGTCCCAGCTACTCGGAAGGCTGAGATAGAAAAATCACCTGAACCCAGGAGGCGGAGATTGCAGTGAGCCGAGATCTCACCATTGCATTCCAGTCTGGGTGACAGAGCGAGACTCCACCTCAAAAAACAAACAAACAAAGAAAAAAAACCCACAAATGTCCTTTTAGTCTGAGCAATAATTCAGATTAAACTGGGATAATCCAGTTTCCCCATCTCAATGCTGTACTCTGCAATTAAGCATATCAAAGATTGGAAGAACAGTGAAGATACAGAGTAGCAAAGCTGAGATTCTCTGAGCCAGCCTCAGCTAGGCAAGGTGCTTCCTCCTACTGGCCTGCCTAAACAAAGAGTTCCATATCTGTATTTGGAAGATACATTGTATTGACAGAACATTCTTAGTTCTCACTCCTAAGGTTTCTGCCCCCAGAGTGTATCTGCTGGAGGCCACTAAACATTTCCTTCATCTGATATGGAATATAACTGAAATTGCGCGGTGGCTGTAATCCCAGTACTTTGGGAGGCCAAGGGGGGCGGATCACAAGGTCAAGAGATCTAGACTATTCTGGCCAACACAGTGAAACTCCATCTCTACTAAAATACAAAAATTAGCTGGGTGTGGTGGCGCATGCCTGTAGTCCCAGCTACTCGGGAGGCTGAGGCAGAAGAACTGCTTGAACCCAGGAGGCGGAGATTGCAAGCTGAGATTGTGCCACTGCACTTCAGGCTGGTGCCTGGTGACAGAACAAGACTCTGTCTCAAATTAAAAAAAAAAAAAAAAAAAAAAGAATATAACTAAAATTAACCAATGTTTTATATATACATACATATATATATATATATATATATATGTTTTTTTAAATTCTTTTAGCATTCTGTGCATTGACAAGAGGTAAAATGACTGAAACTTAAATGTGAAAGAACACTTCGCAATTAAATCCACAACTGTAAACATTTATCTTATTCACATGTCAGTGAAAAATCCCCAATTATTACAAAAACAGGACAAATTACATCACAAAAGAAGCAAAAATTAGAAAAAAAATTCATAAAAAAATATATCCAACTATGAAAAGTGTTGCTCTCTTGGTGTCTTCACATCCTTCTCTTCTGTGTACTGAGGTACAACACATTGTTTCCTCAGATAAATGCGTCCCCATACTTATTCTTCAGTTGTCCATTTACATATTCCTCTGTCTGCTCCAGGGCTATATTCATGTAGCCATCCAGGCAAGCCAGGACCCCTTGATAATCCACTCCAGAATTTCATTTTACCACAACTGGTCGTCCAATGATTTGCTTTAAGAAGTCACTAGGGCCGGGCGCAGTGGCTCACGCTTGTAATCCCAGCACTTTGGGAGGCTGAGAAGGGTGGATCACGAGGTCAAGAGACCGAGACCATCCTGGTCAACATGGTGAAACCCGTCTCTACTAAAACTACAAAAATTAGCTGGGCATGGTGGCGCGTGCCTGTAATCCCAGCTACTCAGGAGGCTGAGGCAGGAGAATTGCCTGAACCCAGGAGGCGGAGGTTGCAGTGAGCCGAGATCGGGCCATTGCACTCTAGCCTGGGTAACAAGAGCGAAACTCCGTCTCCAAAAAAAAAAAAAAAAAGAAGTCACTAGGGGTTTGCTTCCAAAGACTCATTTTAACAATCTTGCAGGAAACTTCAGTTCTAATCCCAGCTCTGCTACTTAATTAGCTGTTTGACTTGGCTAACTCATCTCACCTCTCATGGCCCCAGGTTTCTTATCTCCCCGGCGGGATCCAGAACCCTTGCTACAGGTACCCCAAGAGTCCGGCCTCCGCGGACTTCATTGAATCGAAAAAAAAAAAATTTTTTTTTTTTTGATGGAGTCTTACTCTGTCACCCATGCTGGATGGAGTACAGCAGCACCATCGTGGCTCACTGCAAACTTCACCTCCCCAGTTCAAGTGATTCTCCTGCCTCAGCCTCCCGAGTAGCTGAGATTACAGGCATGCACCACCACACCTGGCTTATTTTTTATATTTTTAGTAGAGATGGGGCTTCACCATATTGGTCAGGCTGGTCTTGAACTCTTGACCTAGAGTGATCTGCCTGCCTCAGCCTCCCAAAGCACAGGGGTTACAGGCGTGAGCCACCGTGCCCAGACCTGAAATTAATCAATATTCTTATTTGACTACCTGGTGGCAGAAACTTCAGTCCTCTAAGAAAGGGCCTGACTAGTGTCTCAAAGACAACAGAGTGGTGTGGGTATAGTGGCTCACCCCTCTAATCCCACACTTTGGGAAACCAAGGCGGACAGATCGCTTTAGGCCAGGAGTTCAAGACCAACCTGGCCATCATGGTGAAATCCTGTCTCTACTAAAATACAAAAATTAGCTGGGTGAGGTGGTATGCACCTATAGTCCCAGCTCCTCGGGAGGCTGAGTTAATTAAAATTAAAACTTAAAACTTCATTTCCTCAGTCTTACCAGCTACAATTCAACTGTGGTTACCAGCTACCATATTGGATAGCACAGACATAGCACATTTCAATCACTGCAGAAACTTTTATTAGACAGCCTTGCTCTATTTCTCATCTCCAAACTCTACCAGACATTACTTCTATTTCTACTTGGTCCTCAATGGGCATTAAATTACAACTAGTTTTTTCATGTACAAATAGGTCAAAGGAAAATAAATTATTACTATCATATTTAAAGTGTCTGCCTCCCCATCTTTTTTATCTCAATGTTCAACATATAAAAAGAGCTAAGTGGCTGGGCGCCGTGGCTCACACCTGTAATCCTAGCACCTTAGGAGGCCGAGGCAGGCGGATCACCTGAGGTCAGGAGTTTGAGACCAGCCTGACCTACATGGAGAAACCCCATCTCTACTAAAAATACAAAATTAGCTGGGTATGGTGGTACATGCCTGTAATCCCAGCTTCTCAGGAAGCTGAAGCAGGAGAATCGCTTGAACCTGGAATTTTATATGTTGAAGCAGAGGTTGCAGTGAGCTGATATGGTGCCATCCTGGAAAACTACCAAAACTCCATCTCAAAAAAAAAAAAAAAAAAAAAAAAAGGCTAAATAAGCCAGGTGTGGTGGCTGAGGCCTGTAGTCCCAGTTACTTTGGAGGCTAAGGCAGAAGGATAGCTTGAGCCCAGAAGCTTAAGGCTGCAGTGAGCCATGATTGCACCCACTGCATTACAGTCTGGGCAATCAGAGCAAGATCCTATTTCTTAAAAAAAAAAAAAGAAAATTTAAAAATCAAGAGCTCAATAAAAGTAATTAACATGAGCCTCAGAACCCATTCTGGAGACTGTCGGGTCCTTGACTGAGAATGAGTCAGTCCACCTCTGCTACTTGGGACGATGAAATAGAGCACACACACAAAATTTACAGGCCAGAAATAGGACTCCAAGAAATCTTCATACCCCATATTAGACAAAGTACAGGTGCTAAATGGGAGACTGAACACTGTCCCGGAGGAAGCCTAAACCATCTGCAAATTGGTCCAGAACTGAAGAATTGGGATCACTCAAGGATCCGGGATGCTTCTCTGTTTTCCCTTCACCAGTTCAATTTTCACTTTACTATCACTAACTCCTTTCCAGTCCATTTGATATCCAGAGCTCAAAAAAGCCAGTGTTCTAGGTACCATTCACTAGTTAAATGACTGTCTTTGGGAAGAAAAAAGGGGCAAGACATGGTCAATCACCCCAGTAACTCCAGCACATTGGAAGGCTTAGGTAGGAAGATTGCTTGAGGCCAGGAATTTGAAACCAGCCTGTGTAACACAGCGAGCACATCTCACAGAAATAATTTTTTATCATCCACACACGGTGTTGTGTAACTGTAGTCCCAGCTACTCAGGAGACTGAGGCAGGAAGATCACTTGGGCCTAGGAGTTGGAGGTTATTATAGTAGCCTCCTACCACCTGCCTATGATCATGCCACTGCAATCCAGCCTTGATGACAGACTGACACCCTAGAATTAAAAAAACATTAAAGAGAAAAAAAAATCTTACCTACTGCCTATACTTTTGTCAATAGGCTGGGATCTGGCCTTCAATTGATATATATCAAGCAATGGAGTAAAAGACTGAAAGACTGTGAGAGTTACGGTTCCCTGTAGTAAGATAAGAATGGCTTTATGGCCTTGTTACATATTTATACCTAACAGGGAAACCCAGTTTCTTCAGCTCAGTAAAATTTGTTCACTAAAAAATTCTTTTTTTTTTTGAGATGGAATCTTGCTCTGTCACCAAGGTTGGAGTGCAGTAGCACAATCTGACCTCACTGTAACTTCCGTCTCCCAGGTTCAAGCGATTCTCCTGCCTGAACATCACAAGTAGCTGGGACCAAAAGCACACACCACCAGGTTTGGTTAATTTTTGCATTTTTAATAGAGGCAGACTTTTGTCATATTTGCCAGGCTGATCTTGAACTTCTGGCCTAAAGTAATCTGCCTGCCTCAACTTCTCAAAGTGCTGGGATTACAAGTGTGGGCCACTGCGCCCAGCCAAAAAAATTCTCATTTAAACATTCATATACAAAAAGGAGACAATTTACCCTTTGTGAAGTAAATTCTAAAGTCTAAGTTCTATGATGTGCAAAAGCTCAGGATATCAAGAAATAGGACAGTACGTGGAGAGTAATTACAAGGAGTCTGAGTTCCCAGAGTAAGATGCTGAGCTCCTAGAGTAAGATGAGAAGGTTCCATCCAGACACACCTTTTTATATGTTGTCTCTCCTGAGGAATCAACACCTCGATGGCCTATTTTCTTGATGGGCATGCCAGAGGTATAAGGCACCTATAAGAAGAAGAGTCAAGATTATAATTCGATTCCCATGTAAGATACCAAATAGCTACCATAATGGTACATCAAAACAAAATTAACTGAAACAACATATTCTTTCTAGAATGTTTGTAAAAACATTTTGCAAAATCTTCAGAAGATCTACCCCATGCTATCTATAGCTATAATGCTGCTTCCCAATGAATTAAGTGGCTAAAAGATCACAGAAGAAAACTCCAGGGGACACATATTTTCCCTTTGGTCCTCAGAAGCACAGAAAATAAAAATATTTTTATTTTTTGTTACTTTTTTGAGATGGAGTTTTGCTCTTGTTGCTGGAGTGCAGTGGCACAACCTCAGGTCACTGCTACCTCCGCCTCCTGGGTTCAAGCGATTCTCCCGCCTCAGCCCCCCGAGTAGCTGGGATTACAGGCACCCGCCACCATGCCCGGCTAATTTTTGTATTTTTGCATTTTTTTGTTTTGTTTTGAGACGGAGTTTCGCTCTTGTTACCCAGGCTGGAGTGCAATGGTGCGATCTCGGCTCACCGCAACCTTCGACTCCTGGGTTCAAGCAATTCTCCTGCCTCAGCCTCCCAAGTAGCTGGGACTACAGGCCTGCGCCACCATGCTCAGCTAATTTTTGTATTTTTAGTAGATACAGGGTTTCACCATGTTGACTAGGATGGTCTCGATCTTTTGACCTCATGATCTACCTGCCTTGGCCTCCCAAAGTGCTGGGATTATAGGCGTGAGCCACCACGCCCGGCCACGTATTTTTGTATTTTTAATACAGATGGGGTTTCACCATGTTGGCCAGGCTGGTCTCAAACTGCTGACCTCAAGTGATCTACCCACCTCAGCCTTCCAAAGTGCCACGATTACAGATGTCAGCCACCATGCCCGGCCAGAAAATAAAATTATTTTAAAATAGTAGTAGAAACATAGCTGGGTGCTGCTGTCACATGCACCTGTAATCTCAGCTACTCAGGAGGCCAAGCAGGGAGGTCACTTGAGCCTAGGAGTTTGATACCAGCCTGGCTGGGCAATATGGCAAAACCCTATCTCCAACTAAAAATACAAAAAATTTGCCTGGCATGGTGGCACGCATCTGTAATCCCAGCTACTCAAGAGGCTGAGGCATGAGAACCGCTTGAATCCAGGAGGCAGAGGTTGCAGTGAGCCAAGATCATGCCACCAGACTCCAGCACTCAACTCAATGCATGATTCTGTCTGGAAAAAAAAAAAAAAAAGAAAAGAAAAAAGAAACAAAGCAAGCAAGGTTGAAGGAGGGAAAGTAGAGAATAGCAGTCATAGGCCAAGCAGGGTGGCTCACGCCTGTATTCCCAACACTTTGGGAGGTCAAGGCGGGCGGATGACCTCAGGTCAGGAGTGCAAAACCAGCCTGGTCAACATGGTAAAACCACGTCTCTACTAAAAATACAAAAATTAGCCAGGCGTGGTGGCATGAGCCTGTAATCCCAGCTGCTAGGGAAGCTGAGGCAGAATTGCCTGAGCCTGGGAGGTGAAGATCGCAGTAAGTGGAGATAGCGTCACTGCACTTTACTTCATACTGGACAACACAGCGAGACATCTCAAAAAAAAGAAAAAAAGAAAAAAAAAGAAAGAAATAAGAGAAGAGTAAACCTATAGTATAGCAGTCTAGAAAGTTATCCCCAGAGCCAGATGCCAGAGTAACAAACATGAAGTTACTCTTCATGACATTAATACTCATTAAGTTAATAAACCAGAAGGCTGAGAGATTAGTGGAAATAGGATGTCACAATTTTTTTTTTTTTGAGACAGGGTCTTGTCTCTATCACCCAGACTAGACTACAGTGGTATGATAATGGCTCACTGCAGCCTCAACCTCTGGGGCTCAAGCAATCCTGAGTAGCTGGGACTATGGTGTGCACCACCATACCTAGCTAGTTTTTCATTTTTTGTAGAACCAGGGTCTCGCTATGTTGCCCGGGCCTGTCTTGATCCCCTGGCCTCAAGCAATCCTCCCACCTCGGCCTCCCAAAGTATTAGGATTACAGGCATGAGCAACGATGACTAGCTAGATGTCACAATCTTAAGACATGATTTTCAAGTTCTACTTTTTTAGCCAAGGCCCTTAGTGCCAGAAAACTCTCAGTATATCACTTGACAGATGCTAGAAGATGTTCTGAAAGAAGCTTTAAGTCCCAGGTCAAAAGGGCCTGCATTCTGAGGCCCCTTTCACAAAACCCAGGAGAGAGGCAAGAAGTAAGAAGAGAATTAGGAAATACTCCATGGGAAGAAAGCTGAGCAAACTGAAGATATTCTAAACAAAAAAGAGAAACTTGGGAAACTAATAGCTTCTGCATGGCTAAAAAAAGTTCTTCATATTCATCAAAGGTACGCAATCAGGACGCCATGACAGCAAAACAAAGAAAGTGAGCTTTAGTGTCAGACTGCCTGAGTTTGAATCCCAGCCTTACTAATCCCACTTATTAACTATGGAATCCTCCTCATTTTCTTCATCTGTAAAACAGGTAACAAGAGTATTGGCCTCACTATGGTTGTTTGCACGATCATAAGAATATCTTTTTTTTTTTTGAGACAGAGTTTCGCTCTGTCACCTAGGATGGAGTGCAGTGGTGCAATCTTGGCTCACTGCAACCTCTGTCTTCCAGGTTCAAGCAATTCTCCTGCCTCAGCCTCCCAAGTAGCTGGGAATACAAGCGCACGCCACTATGTCTGGCTGACAGAATCTTGCTCTGTCGCCCAGGCTGGAGTGCAGTGGCACAATCTTGGCTCACTGCAACCTCTGCCTCCTGGGTTCAAGTGATTCTCCGCTTCAGCCTCCCAAGTAGCTGGGACTACAGGCGTTCGCCACCAGGCCTGGCTAATTTTTTTAAAAATATTTTTTAGTAGAGACAGGGTTTCACCATGTTGGCCAGGCTGTTCTTGAACTCCTTACCTCAGGTGATCTGCCTGCCTCGGCCTCCCAAAGTGCTGGGATTACAGGCGTGAGCCATCGCACCTGGCCTAATTTTTGTATTTTTAGTGGAGACAGGGTTTCACCATGTTGGCCAGGCAGGTCTCGAACTCCAGACCTCAGGTGATCCCCCTACCTCGGCCTCCCAAAGTGCTAGGATTACAGGCATAAGCCACCACGCCTGGCCAATATGAGAATATCTTAAAAGGTACTTAGTTACAGTATTTACTCTTGGGTACATATTGCATTTGGTACATTAAAAATGCTCAATAAATGTGAGATATTAAATAAACTACAATAAAAGTTAAATTGCATAATTTCTAGCCTACCAATGAGATGTAAGAATCCTGTCTAGCTGGCCGGGTGCGGTGGCTCAAGCCTGTAATCCCAGCACTTTGGGAGGCCGAGGCTGGTGGATCACGAGGTCAAGAGATCGAGACCATCCTGGTCAACATGGTGAAACCCCGTCTCTACTAAAAATACAAAAAATGAGCTGGGCATAGTGGCGTGTGTCTGTAATCCCAGCTACTCAGGAGGCTGAGACAGGAGAATTGCCTGAACCCAGGAGGCGGAGGTTGCGGTGAGCCGAGATCGCGCCATTGCACTCCAGCCTGGGTAACAAGAGCGAAACTCCGTCTCAAAAAAAAAAAAAAAAAAAAAAAAAAGAATCCTGTCTAGCTTCCAAGACCTAAGTAAAGAAAAAATAAAAATATCATAAACAGGTATCCTGCTATCCCAGAGTAAAGTTTTAGTAACAATTGTACCAATATGAAACTCACCTCAGATGCTGTGGGTCTCTTGATTCCAGATGCTTCTTTAAACAAACAAAAAAAAAACCACACAATCATAAGAACATATACACATACTCACATGATCTCTATCAAGCACACTGAAAGCATCAGAGTTTGAATCAAACTAAACACGAGTATAAACTCCTGCCTCTTGCTCAGTGATACCAGATATTTTTGGATAGCACTTTATATGTCCCTCCCTCCTCCTCCATACTCACAGAGGCCTCGTGCATGTTTCATTTTTGTTCTAGCCTCCTTTCTTACTCAAGTATTCATATTTTCTCTGGCAAATATAACTCTTTCTTTTTTCTTTTTGAGATGGAGTCTCACTCTGTTGCCCAGGCTGGAGTGCAGTGCATGATCTCGGCTTACTGCAACCTCCACCTCCCGGATTCTCCTGCCTCAGCCTCCCAAGTAGCTGGGATTACAGGCGCCTGCCACCACGTCAGGCTAATTTTTGTGTTCCTAGTGGAGGTGAGGTTTCACCATGTTGGCTGGGCTGGTCTCAAACTCCTGACCTCAAGTGATCCGCCTGCCTCGGCCTCCCAAAGTGTTGGGATTGCAGGTGTGAGCCACCACACCCAGCCCTTTTTCTTTTTTTTTTTTTTGAGACAGAGTCCCACTCTGTTGCCCAGGCTGGAGTGCAATGGTGTGATCTCGGCTCAGTGCCAACCTCTTCCTCCTGGGTTCAAGTGATTCTCATGCCTCAGCCTCCCAAGTAGCTGGGACTACAGGTGCCCATCACCAGTCCGGCTAATTTTTTTCTAATTTTAGTAGAGATGAGGTTTCACCATGTTGGCCAGGCAGGTCTCGAACTCCTGACTTCAAGTGATCTGCCTGCCTTGGCCTCCAAAGTTCTGGCATTACAATCATGAGCCAACGCGCCCTGCCAACTTTTTAAAACATTTAACCATCAGAGTCGGGGGTCTCATTTGATACGATGGTTGAAAGAGACAAGGCATAAAAGATATTCAAGACTCACTGGAGACGCTGGAGTTTGACTGAAGTTTTTTATTTTATTTATTTATTTTGAGACAGAGTCTCACTCTATTGCCCAGACATCTCCTAGTCTGGTAGTTATCACCTAGAAAGTAAGCTCCTCTATATGCAAAAAGTCACTGAATAAAGTTAAACAGAAAAAAGGCAAATAAGTAATTTCAATGCAGAGTGGGTTTGAAGTTTTCTCCCTAAAAAGTTCTACCTTGCTACCCTTCCTAGTTTTATCACACAAACATGTAGCTCTAGGGCTGCTACACTCTTGTAAAGTACCTAAAATAAAGATGAGATGGAATTTTGGTGCCAAATGCTTAGTATCTGCAACTGCAAAACTGGGACTAATCCCAAGAGCACACAGGATGATGATGATATTAAGGTCTAAGTAATAATACTCAGACCAAGTGACAAAGGAGGAGAATCAGGATACAGAACCTACTCTCTTCCTTGTGTAAAGTTTTGCCCCTATGGCACACATCAGAGATCCAATCTACCAAGGAGCAGAAGAGAAAAACATCATGTATATTTTATATCAAAAAAGAAAAAACATATATCTATATGTATGTATGTAATTTTTTTTCCTTGGAGACAGGGTCTCACTCTGTCACCCTGGCTAGAGTGCAGTGGTGCAATTTCTGCTTATGCAGCCTCTACCTCCCAGGCTCAAGTGATGCTCCCACTTCAGTCACCTGAGTAGTTGGGACTACAGGTGTGTACCACCATGCCCAGCTGATTTTGCTTTTTTTATTATTTGCTTTTATTATTATTATTTGTAGCTATGAGGTCTTACTATGTTGCCCAGGCTGGTCTGAAACTCTTGGGTTCAAGTGATCCTCCTGCCTCAGCCTCCCAAAATCCTGGGATTATAGGCATGAGCCACCACACCCAGCCAAGTAAATTATCTAGAGAACTTTACCAAAGTTGTTTAACACCAAGCTTGGTCCACAAACCCAAGTAGAATGGCAGAGTAGAATGGCAGTATAAGGAACCAGATATCATCTGCTAAGGCTTGACTGCTCGACCCAAGGATCTGCCAATGGAGAAATCATCTACTGAGAAAGTCCATGAAACTGAAGAGATGACAAGCATTTAACTGTTCACCTCATAATCAAGCCTTTTCTTCAGAAGAGGAAGAAACAGAAAGAAGAGGACGAAGGGAGAGAGAAGGACCAGAGGGGGAAAAAAAAGAAAACCAACTCAGCATGGCAACACCTGGCTTGGTAATGCCAGCCAGCCTATTTTATTTTAATTTCTAATTTTTTAGAGACAGGCTCTCACTATGTTGCACAGGCTGGAGTGCAGTGACTATTTACATGTGCACTCATAGCTCACTACAGCCTCAAGCTCCTGGATTCAAGTGATCCTCCCACCTCAGCCTCCTGAGTAGCTGGGACTATCAGCCTGCACAACTGCACCTGGCTGTTAGCCATACAATTTTTTTTTTTTTTTTTTTAAAAACAGAGTCTTGCTTTGTCACCTAGGCTGGAGTACAGTGGTGCAATCTTGGCTCATTGCAACCTCTGCCTCCCAGGTTCAAGCGATTCTCCTGCCTCAGCTTCCCAAGTAGCTGAGACTACAGGTTCATGCCACCAAGCCCCACTAGTTTTTTGTATTTTTAGTAGAGACAGGGATTCACCACGTTAGCCAGGATGGTCTCGATCTCCTGATCTTATGATCTGCCCACCTTGAACTCCCAAAGCGCTGGGATTACAGGCGGGAGACACCACACCCAGCCAGTCAGCCAATTTTTCAAGAGAATGAGATTCATCCCTATGGATAAGACCAGAATACTGTTCAACAGAAAATGTTTTCTAGTGTCTTTGTGAAAAACACTGTAGGTATATATTATCATTTTGTAATTCATACTCATGATTTATATATATTTTTTTGGGGTGGGTAAACAGCATTAAAATTTACTCTTCTCTAAAAGAATATCTTTTGTCTGAGAATCTTGAGACCTGCATCTCCACATCTAAGGCAAAACTCTCAAAGAGCATTATTCAAATGTCTTTTATCATCAGTCCACACTTGGAAGTGTGGCATGTGCTGTAAGAGGGGAGAGCCTATTACCCAAGGGTGGGTATACAGGCTGATAGTTTGGCTATAAATGCTACAGAGAAGGTCCTATGCCAGCTTCTCCATACTGGATCAATTTTAATACACCTCAGCCCCAGTTTAATGCCAAATTATTCCTGCTTTTTCTCCATCACTCAGGCATCTCCACATTCTCTCATTTCTCTTTAACACTGACATTTTTAGAAAGGTTATTTCTCTCCTATGGCTGAACAACTTATGTTTGATAAACACTTTGGAAGCTTATGAATGTATTTCATTTGGCCCTCAAAAAATACTACCGGGTTTGGGAACTATTTTAATTAAGGACTTAAGAGAGAAATAACAAAATGTGTGAAACTTGCTTGGGTGCTGACTAGAAAAAAGGAATCGTAAAAAGACGTTTCTGAGAAGAGAGTCTTAAAAAGAAAAGTTAAATAATTATTAATTGTATAGATGTGACAATACTACTGCAGTTATACTCTCCCATCCTCACCTCTAAAAGATTCCTTATGTGTATTAATAGGTTCTGAAGCATTTAGGGTTGAAATCACGTGAGGACTGGACTTCCTTTAAAATATTCCAGCGAGGTAGAAGTAGAAAAATAGAGAAATATAGATGCAGGCCGGGCGCGGTGGCTCAAGCCTGTAATCCCAGCACTTTGGGAGGCCGAGGCGGGTGGATCACGAGGTCAAGAGATCGAGACCATCCTGGTCAACACGGTGAAACCCCGTCTCTACTAAAACTACGAAAAATTAGCTGGGCATGGTGGCGCGTGCCTGTAATCCCAGCTACTCAGGAGGCTGAGGCAGGAGAATTGCCTGAACCCAGGAGGCGGAGGTTGCGGTGAGCCGAGATTGCGCCATTGCACTCCAGTCTGGGTAACAGGAGCGAAACTCCGTCTCAAAAAAAAAAAGAAATAGATGCAGGAAGACTGGCAAAATGCTGCTATCAAAGCTAGGTGATAGGCCAGGCGTGTTGGCTCACACCTGTAATCCTAGCACTTTAGGAGGCCACAGCAGGTGGATCACTTGAGGTCAGGAGTTCTAGACCAGCCTGGCCAACATGGCGAAACCGTGCCTCCACTAAAAATACAAAAATTAGCCAGGTGTGGTGGGCGCCTATAATCCCAGCTACTTGAGGGGCTGATGCAGGAGAATCGCGTGAACCCGGGGTGGGCAGAGGTTGCAGTGAGCTGAGATCATGCCATATCACTCTAGCCTGGGCAAAAGAGCAAAATTCCATCTTTAAAAAAAAAAAAAAAAAAAAAAGCTAGGTAGTAAGTATATAAAGGATAATTATACTATTCTCTCTACTTCACCTACATTTGAAGAATGGTATAAATTAAGGGAAAAAAGCAAATCTGGATAATGGGATGTCTTGATCTGAGTTAGCTTTTTTAATTTTTAAAGTAAAGACAGCAGGCTGGGCACAGTGGCTCACGCCTGTAATCCCAGCACTTTGGGAGGCTGAGGCGGGTAGATCACGAGGTCAGGAGATCACTACTACCCTGGCTAACATGGTGAAACCTGGTCTCTATTAAAAATACAAAAATTTAGTCAGACGTGGTGGGACACACCTGCAATCCCAGCTACTTGGGAAGCTGAGGCAGAAGAATTGCTTGAACCTGGGAGGCAGAGGTTGCAGTGAGCCGAGATCGCGCCACTGCACTCCAAGCTGGGTGACAGAGTGAGACTCCATCTCAAAAAATAAATAAATAAAGACAGGCACTGAGCACAGTGGCTCACACCTATAATCCCAGCACTCTGGGAGGCAAAGATGGGAGGATTACTTGAGCCCAGGAGTTTGAGACCAGCCTGGGCAACATAGGGAGATCCCATCTCAGCAAATAAAAACAAAAAAAGGAAAGAATATATAAAGACAGGGTTTCGGCCTGGCTCGGTGATTCACACCTGTAATCCCAGCACTTTGGGAGACTGAGGCGTGTGGATCACAAGGGCAGGCGACTGAGACCACCCTGGCCAACATGGTGAAACCCCATCTCTACTAAAAATGCAAAAATTAGCTGGGTGTGGTGGCACACACCTGTAGTCCCAGCTTCCCGGGAGACTTAAGGTGATCCTTCCATCTCAGCCTCCCAAAGTACTGGGATTAAAAGCATGATCCGGCTGGGTGCGGTGACTCATGCCTGTAATCTCAGCACTTTGGGAGGCCAAGGTGGGTGGATCACCTGCGGTCAGGAGTTAGAGACCAGTCTGGCCAACATGGAGAGACCCCATCTTTACTAAAAATACAAAAATTAGTCAGCGTGGTGATAGGCGCCTGTAATCCCAGCTATTCAGGAGGCTGAGGCAGGAGAATAGCTTGAACTCGAGTGGTGGAGGTTGCAGTGAGCCAAGACTGCACCACTACAGTCTCCATGTCAAAAAAAAAAAAAAAAAGCATGATCCACTGCACCAGGCCTACTTTCCAATTTCCCTCCCTCCCTCCCTCCCTGCCTTCTGTCTCTCTTTCTTGAGATGGGCGTCTTTCTGTGTCACCAAGCTGGAGTGCAGTGGCGAGATCTCGGCTTACTGCAACCTCCGCCTCCTGGGCTCAGGCAATTCTCCTGTCTCTGCTGGGAATATGGGCACACACCAGCATGCCTGGCTAATTTTTGTATTTTTAGTACAGATGCAGTTTCACCATGTTGGCCAGGCTGGTCTTGAACTCCTGACCTCAAGTGATCTGCCCATCTCGGCCTCCTAAAGTGCTGGGATTACAGGCATGAGCCACTGCGCCCAGCCTACTTTCCAATCTTCACAATAAAACCACTTATTACAAATCAATAACCACTTATATTAGAACAAAATCATTCAGAAAGAGATTTTTAGTCTAATCTCTTTAATTAGAAGAGCACAGAGGAAGAGGTTAAGGAATGGGCTCAAAATCAAAGCACAGGCAGTGACAGAGCCGAAACTAGAACCCACATTCCGAATCCCTAATTCAATACGTTCTTATAAATCATCTTTGGTTTTTAATTTCCTGGCCACCTAGAATATAGTTGGAACAAGAAAGTGCCAGTGGAACTAGAATGCTCTAACAAACTAAATAAATCTCAGATTTACTAATAGACAATATGAACACATTTCCCTCAAGGTACTCCTTTTTCCTTGAGACAAGGAAATGTTTCATTTTCATTGATAGAGAGGATTAGGAATTCAGTTGTACTCCTTCAGGTCCTTTCAAGGAAATTAACAACACTGTTCCTCTAGCAACATTTATCAACATCATTGGCAAAGAGTAGGAAAGTACCTTTCTTTTAGAGAGATTTCCTCTGAATTAGGCAATGCCAGTATTCTAGAGGAGCAGAAACTTCCAAGTCTGATACTTGAAATCATAGTTTTACAGTTTTACAGATGTTAAAGTCCTCACTAGCATATAAAGTATCTTTTTTGTCCAAAAAGACATTAACAATTTTAACACAGCCAGGCATGGTGGCTCACGCCTGTAATGCCAGTCCTTTGGGAGGCCAGGTGGGCAGTGGATCACCTGAGGCCAGGAATTCAAGAACGTCCTGGCCAACGTGGTGAAACCCCATCTCTCATCTCTAAAGAAATACAAAAATTAGTTGGACATGGTGGCATGTGACTGGTAATCCCAGTTACTCAGGAGGCTGAAGCCAGAGAATTGCTTGAACCCGGGAGGTGGAGGTTGCAGTGAGCTGAGATCATGCCACTGCACTCCAGCCTGGGCAACAGAGCAAGCTCCGTCTCAAAAAAGAAAAGAAAAAATAAGGCCGGGCGCGGTTGCTCACGCTTGTAATCCCAGCACTTTGGGAGGCCGAGGCGGGTGGATCACGAGGTCAAGAGATCGAGACCATCCTGGTCAACATGGTGAAACCTCGTCTCTACTAAAACTACAAAAAATTAGCTGGGCATGGTGGCGCGTGCCTGTAATCCCAGCTACTCAGGAGGCTGAGGCAGGAGAATTGCTTGAGCCCAGGAGGCGGAGGTTGCGGTGAGCCGAGATCGTGTCATTGCACTCCAGCCTGGGTAACAAGAGCGAAACTCTGTCTCAAAAAAAAAAAAAAAGAAAAAGAAAAAATAATTAGCCGAACATGATGGGTGGTATGCATCTGTAGTCCCAGCTACTTGACAGGCTGAAGTACGAAGATGGCTTGGGCCTGGGAAGTCAAGGCTGCAGTGACCTATGATCGTGGCACTGCACTCCAGCTTGGGTGACAGAACAAGATCCTGTCTCAAAATACATAAATTAATACATTAATAAAATTAAAATGCTTCTGAAAGAATAACAATAATTCCACCTACTATGCACAAAGGAGCTCAGAATTTTATTGATTTAGGAAGGCTAAGGCTAAGGTCAGTAGGAGAAGTTTCCTTCTGTACTATTTTCTCCTTCACCCCAAAGACTCTTGGCTCAGAGTAACAACAAATACTTAACCTGATTATTAGTTCACACACAGACTTTTCAAATTAGTGAGGGGAGCAGCACAATGGGTAGGACTGCAGGCTCTGAAATCAGAACACCTCAAAATCCATATCCCAGGGAAAACAAAACCAAAAAAAAAAAAAAAAAAAAAAGAAATCAGAACACCTACATTTGTTAGGTTTGAATACTAGATTTAACATTTACAGCTGGGCTAACAATGGCTTAAGGCTGTAAATCCTAGCACTTTGGGAGGCCGAGCAGGTGGGTAACTTGAGGCCAGGAGTTCAAGATCAGCCTGGCCAATGTGGAGAAACTCTGTCTCTACCAAAAATACAAAAATTAGCTGGGCGTGGTGATGTGCCCTGTAGTCCCAGCTACTCTGGAGGCTGATGCACAAGAATTACTTGAGCCCAGGAGGCAGAGGTTGCAGTAAGCCGAGACTGCACCATGGCACTCTAGCCTGGGTGACAGAGCAAGACTTTGTCTCAAAAAAAGCATTTACTAAGTAGGTAACCTTGGGTAGGTTGGTTAAAATTTCTCTAGAGCAGACTGGCCTACCTTATCTACAAAATGTGGAAGTAACAACATGTACCTCGGTTGTTATGAGAATTAAACAAGTTACCTATAGGCTAATCTATAATATATGCTCTACTTAATCTACAATAAATGCTCTATAAATTCTAGCAATTATTATTATAATTGTGATTTATGAAATGCCATCTACAGGACAGGAATGGTCAGGGGAAGTGAGAGGCACAACAGAAAGGGAAAAGGAAAAGAGTTGAGACTGGTTTACTGAAACAAAAGGAAATGAAGTCATAGGAAATTTTCATGGGAGACAAAAAGGTAGTCACTTATTCATAATATACTGAAGAATTGTGAGAAAAGATATTTCTATGTTAAGATAACATCTTTTTTGGAGAGGGCAGTGGCATATGGGCACTAGAGTTAAATAATGCTTGTAAAGGCCGGGCGCAGTGGCTCACGCCTGTAATCCCAGCACTTTGGGAGGCCGAGGTGGGTGGATCACGAGGTCAACAGATCGAGACCATCCTGGTCAACACGGTGAAACCTCGTCTCTACTAAAACTACAAAAAATTAGCTGGCATGGTGGCGCGTGCCTGTAATCCCAGCTACTCAGGAGGCTGAGGCAGGAGAATTGCTTGAGCCCAGGAGGCGGAGGTTGCGGTGAGCCGAGATCGCGCCATTGCACTCCAGCCTGGGTAACAAGAGCGAAACTCTGTCTCAAAAAAAAAAAAAAA